TTGAAGTGCCGGAGCTGTAAAGGCCTGCTGAAAGGACCATTTCCAGAAATCCGCAGGGGGAATGGTTAAACTGTTGCTGTGGCAGCGTGTGTGACTTTTGTCCTCTTGGCTTTATTTTAGTGAGCGTAGTAAGGGGTTTTGCTTTGCAGAAGGGAAAAAGCATTAAGCCTCGGGAACATAAACCACATTCCCTTTGGCACAATGTGTTCTTTACCTCACAGACAAAATATGATCAGGGTGCAGAATGAATAGCAGGTGTAAAATATTTTTAGAAAAACGCTGGCATACAGGGCAGATATTCCTCAATCCCCTTCCCTTCTTTCCCTGGGGTCTCTTGTTCATTAAAAACAAGCAGTAATATTGGTGACTGCAGTTTGGGGGAAACTTGCCGGAGTTTTCATTTGATAATTCAGCACTTCAGAGGCCTGAAATGAGAGATCCCTGCCCTCCTCTGAGAGCTGCAGCACCATCATATTGAAACCATCCACTGGCTACGTGCCCTCTTGGAGCTAGTTTATCTGCATTCTCTCTATCCGTTAGCTTAAAGATTACCCATTGCATAAAATAAGGGAGTTCTGAGAAAATAGTGCCTTAATTACTAGTTAGTGTCTGTGTGAAGTTCTCTCTCACTAATCACTGTGCTTCATCGGTCTTTCACACTGTTACTCTTTGCTGCCAGATTCCACTTCTCTAATCTCATTTTTTTCAGTTGCTCTTCTATGTATTCGTGCCCAGAACTGCTGTATGATGGGCTGAAAGTCACCCTCTTGCTCCACTCCTTTTGGGCTAAGATTTGACTTTCATCTCTAAACTTCCCCCAGATGGGCCTATAAACCAATAATGGAGGAAGCATGAACTTAGTTCAAGTTTGTTCAAGACTGGATGGCAGAAGACATGGTTTTAAAACCTACTGCATGTTCAGAGCACAGCTAAAGATTATACGGGCTGCTCATGCTCTTCTAAAACTCGTTGAGTTTGTTGCTCAGGCAGCTTCATTGTGTAATGCAAAAGCCTGGATGATCTTGGTTGTGTTGATGGAAATCAAAGGTAGCAGCTTGGTACTGAGCATCATGGAGCAGGTTTCAAATCAGGCACCCCAGGTTCCAATTCTGGGCAAATTGCTGCCCTTTTCTGTGTTGGTTTGCCCTTCTGTATGTTGAAATTCAATTTTAGCAAGTGTTAGACAGTAACCGGATACACTTCTCCCTCACCTCTTGATTAGGAACCTTATCCAAATGCTGTAAATACCCCAGGATCATAATCTGGGGTGATCTGTCATTCCCTCCTCTCACGGCCTTATATCTCTCTGGCCTCTCTGGGTCTCTCTCACCGTATGGTTCAGCTAAGATGTATCAGATAACCTTTATTTTGAAATAAGGCATGCATCAAAAAGTAAAGCACTTGTTTTTCGATGTCTGATAGAGTCTGATTCATCCACAATCAGAGCCAAAAGCTTTCAAAGCAGTAAAATCTCACATACTGACTATTGTGATTCTGTGAAAGAATTTCTGTGGGTGTTTCTATAGATATATAAGTATATATTCCTCCAGTACAAATCATGTGACAATTTTACACCAGCCTACTCACTGAAGTTGCTGCTAGTCAAAATTAGACTTGCATACAGATTTCACAAAATATAATAAATTTCCCTTTGTTTTTCAGTTTTCTACAAGGTTAAGAAACCCATGGGCAAGTATAGACGGCTGAGTTGTGCCTCTGCCTGTGTAATGGACTGTCAGTGCAATCTTAAA